ACCATGAACTCAAGGAGAAAAGCCTATACAGAAATAGAATGAAAAGCCAGGTCATGAGTCAAATGTTGCTCTCAGTGACCCTTCTTTAAATCTGGAATGACACCACTGAATCAGTTATTCTAGATCGGGGTGGGCAAACTACAGCCCGGGGATCTGGTCCGCAGGATTGCCACCCCTGTGGCGCCATGGGGCTAAGGCAGGCTCCCTGCCTGCCCTGGCCCCGCGCCACTCCCGGAAGCGGTTAGCACCACGTTCCCGCGGCACCTAGGGGAGTGGAGGGGCAGAGGGCTCCACATGCTGCCCTCGTCTGCAGGCACTGCCCCCATTGGCCAGGAACGGGGGACCATGGCCAATGGGAGCTTTGGGGGAAGTACCCGCAGGTGAGGGCAGTGCGCGGAGCCCTCTGCCCCCCCACCCCCAGGGGCCGCAGGGATGTTGTGCCAGCTGCTTCTGAGAGCAGCACAGGACCAGGGCAGGCAGGGAGCCTGCCTTGGTCCCACGGCACGGCGCTGCCACCCTGGAGCTGCTCAAGGTAAGCAGCGCCAGGCCAGAGCCCACACCCCATCCCCCTGCCACACCCCTCCTGCACCCCAACCTTGAGCCCCCTCCTGCACCTCAACTCCCTGCCCTGAGCTCCCTCCCACACTCTGCACCCCAAGCCCCTGCCCTGAGCCCCCCTGCACCCTAACCCCCTGCCCTGAGCCCCTTCATAAACCCCGCACCCCAACCCCTTGCCCTGAGCCCCTTCCTGCACACCACACCCCCTCTCACCTCCTGCCCCAGCCCTACTTTCATGGCCCTGCATGCAATTTCCCTACCCAGATGTGGCCCTTGGGCCAACAAGTTTGCCCATCCCTGTTCTAGATCAACACTGGTATAAGCAAGAACAGAACTGGGCCCAAGGCATGTGGAATTTTGGTTGATACTTTAAAGGTTATGCCAGCAATAGCCCAACTGTAGACACAGGGACACTAGTATAAGCTATACTGGCATACTCCCCTTTCTGGTGTAGGCAAGGCGTGGGTGTGGGGAGACAACAGCACGAGGAATGTATGGGGCGGGGGGAGAGGGAGAGAGCTGGGCAAAGAGAGAACAGGTTTGGGGGATGTGGAGTCAGGAATACAATTATTCCAAGTTTCTTAATGTGCCTGATATCATTTGTGCAGAGGACAAAACCCAGCCCTCCAGCTAACCCCACTGTCAGCCATTATCCCCTACCCTCCATTGAGGAAAAGAACCCAGCCACTTCTCCCCCCTCATTTCCTAGCCCTATAGCCCCCCCAGAGAGAAGGAAAGAGGAATCCCCCAGGCCCCTTAACCCTATAGCTCCACCCAGAGAGAGAAGAGAAGCCCCCACGCCTATAGCCCTCTGAGAGAAAGAAGAGAAGCCAGCCGCCCCCGCAAGAGCTGGCAACCCAGCCCTCCCGCGCAGATCCCGAGCTCCGCCCCCCAACCCGGGGCGGTGGGGGGGTCCCTATCCCCTACCCCGGGCCCGCGGGCGGGCAGGAGCCCGGGGTCCCCCAGCCTGCGCTACTCACGAGTCTCCTAGGAAATCGTGGAAGCGGATGCGGCCGTGCGTGGTGTCCGCCTCGAAGTTGGGGGCCTCGTCCCCCAGCAGCAGTCCCGGCATGGCTAACGGCCTGACTTCTCGCGGGCGATGTGCCGGAACGGCGGCGACAGCGACTGATACAACCTCCGCAGGGGGCGGGGCCACGCAGCTGGGGGCGGGGCTGCCATGATTTGTGCCTGGCCAATCAGGAGAAAGGCACGGATAGCGCCCTGCAGGGCGCGCTGCTAGTGGCTAGAGCAGCGGCCTGGGAGCCAGGACGCCTGGGTTCCAGTCCTGGCTTGGCCCCCTGGCGTGACCTCGGGCAAGTCACGTCACTCTGTGTGTTTAGAGTGCAAGCCCTCGAAACAGGGGCTGTCTCTTGTCATGTGTTGGGGTAGCATCTAGCCCAGTGGTCCCCAACATTTTCTATCACGCCCCCCCCACCATAAGGGAACCTGTCCGCACCCCCCACCCCGGAACCTCAACTGGGAGCTTGGAGCTGAGGCCGAGGGTTGGGAGAGAGCCACGGCTGGAGCCCAAGCTGCAGCTGGGGCAGGGCAGGGCCGGGGGCAGAGTGGCACCCAGAGTGCTGGGTAGCACTCCTTCCCGCCCTCCGTGGCGGCTGGTCTGGACCCTTCTGTGCGCCCCCCGATGTTCCTCCGCACCCTCCAGTTTGGGAACCACTGATCTAGCCCTTGGTTAGGGCTTCCAGGTCACTACCCATAATACAAATAGGAATCACACTAATAACATGCAAACATCACTTCCATAACCCAGTTCTCACACATTAAGGAAATAATTTAACACTATTTTAAAGATAGAACAATTAATTATTGGAGAAAATAGCAACTAACCTTTATTAAGACAGTATGAGGATAAGCAAGCAACATGAAAAAGAATAATAAAAAAGCAGCATTTTATAAAAACATACTCTGTTAATACAACTTTTTGTATCAGCTTCTCTGAGAAAAGTTCTTAGGACAGTATTATTGTCCAGAGGTGTGGCTGTCTGCACAAGGAAAAATGTTGCTCCTTAAACGTATAATGTACTGGTGGCTAGAAAAGTATTTGCAGGATCAGAGCCCAAGCATGTGTGTAATTTTACTCATATGAGCAGGCCGTTGCAGAAATGTGTGTAAAGTTATGTGTGTGTCTTTAGAACATAAGAATAGCCACAGGAGTGGATCAGACCAATGAATAGCCCAGTTTACAGTCTCTGATAGTGGCTAGTGCCAGATGCTTCAGAGGGAATGAAAAGAATAGCGCAATTTCAAGTGATACATCCCGTCACTCAGTCTCAGCTTCTGGTAGCTGGAAGTTTAGGGACCCCCAGAGGATAGAGTTATCTCCCTGACAATCTTGGATAACAGCCATTGATGGCCCTATCCTCCAGGAACTTATCTAATTCTTTTTTTGAATCCAGTTATACTTTTGGCCTTTACAACACCCCATGGCAATGAGTTCCACAGGTTGACTGTGCATTGTGTGAACTATTTCCTTTTATTTTAAACCTGCTGCCTATTGATTTCATTGAGTGACCCCTAGTTCTTGTGTTATGTAGGAGATAAATAACACTTCCTTATTCACTTTCTCCACACCATTCATGATTTTATAGATTTCTCTCATATCCCCTCTTAGGTCTCTCTTGTAAACTGAACAGTCTGGTCTTTTTAATCTTTCCTCATATGGAAGCTCTTACATACCTCTAATCACTTTTGTTGCCCTTCTCTGTACCTTTCCCAATTCTAATATATCTTTTTTCAGCTGGGGTGACCAGAACTTCATGCAGTATTCAACGTATGGCCATACCATGCATTTATATAGTGGCATAATGATATTTTCTGTTTTATTAGTTATCCCTTTCCTAATGGTTCTTAATACTCTGTTAGCTTTTTTAGCTGCTGCAGAACATTGAGCAGATGTTTGCAGAGAACTATCCACAATGACTCCCAAAATCTTTCTTGAGTGTTACAGCTAATTTAGACCCCATCCTATCATATGTATAGTGAGGATTATTTGCAGGATTGGGGCCAAAATTTAGAAAAATACAGACTTTAGATTGAAGAGAATTTATGTAAAACGACAAAGGGCTAAATCTAGCCAGCTGCTGAGCACTGAAATCAGGATTTGGGCCCAAGACTGTTTAAGTATACACTGAATCATTGTAACAATTTTCTTTTAAACCATATTTTGCATTCTGCAGCTTCTGAATCTGCACTGGGATTCAAATAAATACCTCATGTGGGCTAAATCCATCCTATGTGGTGGATGATTTACTCTGACCTAAAATGAAGATTTCTGGGAAGGACTATTTCACACACGGTGAATCCATGAGCCTACTCAGGGCACCCATGTGGGTGCCCAATAAGCCTGCAGTGCACACCAGCAGCACCTTCTGTGCCCATGAGGCTGTGCTGTGAGAGACCCCCTCAACTAGGTTTACCATATGTCCTCTTTTTCCCGGACATGTCCGGCTTTTTGGCACTCAAACCCCC